TACTTGCAATACGGGACTTGTAATACTTGTTTCTACGCCAATTTTACTATTATTATTACCAAAAGTTTTCAATTTAAATAATTGCAGGTAAAAAGGAAATCAAAGTGATAAAAAAAGTTATATAAGCAACTAAACTGCAAAAATATTTCAGTAGCAAAAGTGAAGTCTTAGAGATCGATCGCGTCGAATCATGCGATCGCGCAAAGTCAGGCTGTAGTGTAAGCTTGTTTGAGCTAGCTTGTCATTTACAGGGATTTTGGTGAAATCGTGTCCGCCATGTTCTGTTGTTGTTGGACTGCTGTTACGCCAGCGAACCTTCATTTTAAGATAGTCTTCTTTATATTGGCCCTAATATATTAATACATTAGCCGTGAAAAATTTCATATGCACTTATGAGAAGAAACCAGAATCAACCTTTCCCAACACAGCGCTGCTCTTTGCAAGAATACAAGGATTAAATTCAAATTCAAAATTTCAATTATCACTAGAAGTTTTTCGTACTTCTTCACGTTACGGCATATCTGCAATCCGCAATCAACATTGGCGTTGGATAATTAAAAATTTCAGACGGTGGATATAAATGAAACATTCGTTCAAAAACAATTATAATCATCTCCTATAAATGTCATAATATATTTTTCTAAAGGAGACATAACATGAGACCGTCTGAGAACTATTAAGCCCCCTAATGGTTATTAACAAATGTTAAGCTTAGCTATAATGCAAAACTCTAATTGTCTACAAGTAAGATTTGAATAACTAATGTCGTGAACTTAAGCTTTCTGCAAGCTCAATATTTTATAGACTGTCTAATACTAAAATTAGAGTACTGTGGTTGCCCATACCCTATAGAACAGAGAAAGCTAACTGGAATTTCACGTAAAACGCAATTTTCACCACACGTTCCTCAATAAATGAAAACAAATTCGCATGTTTTACTTACTAATTAAAGTATTTTTTAAGAAATTTACACGCCCTCACACTACAATGCTAAATAAACAAACTCACGATAGCTTAGAAATTTAAAGATGACATTAACAAATTATAATAAATGACTGAAATAAAACGTCATTTTCTTCGTAACTTTAGATGAATAAGAATAAATAAAAGACTGAAGAAACAAACCCCCTTTTGCCTTTCATAGAAAGAAAAACAATTTACCCAAGTATAGTGAAATGTTTGATAAGGTAAACAGTTCGCTCTTCAGGTGCAGTTTGAGAATTGAATAAATTTTTATACCCTACACTATTTGTGGTATAAAGGTACGTTAAGTCTGTGTGGATGTATGCAATGCATAGAAAGACTTGAGATAGACTTCGCCTTTTAATATACCCACCGATTCAGAATCACTTTCTTTAAGCTTGTCTGTCCATCCATCCCTCCATCCGTCCATCCGTCATCTTTTCTTGTTTCTAAGCTTGAACTTTACTCACACGGTGTTTATGTTTAATATATTGGCATTTGCCTTTACACTCCAGATGGGTTTATGAGGCTCTTACAAATAAATTTGCATAAGTTGGATAAATTTTGGCAAAAGAAATGATTTTTATTAATTAATACTATTTGTATGATTGTATAAGAAGGTAGCAATAACAATTTTGCCACTTAATATATGATACTGGAACAAAAAAAATTTTACTTCCCAATATGATACTTCCACTAATGAATCTCCTTTGCTTCCTCAGAGCATTACCTGATCCCTTAAGCATGGTCGTTTTATCACGAAAACAGCTTCAAATGATCCAGGGCGTTTAATTAATGCTAGTGAGTTCATTACGACGATTATTCTCTGAATTTACCTAAGCCTATCTGTCCATCCGATGTCTGCCCGTGTAATCTTGTATTCAATCGTCGCAGATTTTTGAGATATTTTTATGAAATCCGATACACTGACGTTTGTTGGTCCAGTTCGCATCAGATTACTTTCCATTTAACGCCTCAGTTAGAAAAGTATTCGTATACATATCCACAGGGTGGTCCTCGCCACCGTCCAGAGAGCGCCACGTACTAATTTAGAACGTTCTGCGATGGTAGAATTATTTTTGCGATTTTTCCACTGGCACGAGATGTTCAATTGCCCGTTTTCGACACGTTATCCCGTTTGCATTGCTTCAACTATTGACTGCGGTAGCTAATGATTTCAAAGCTCTCTGAGACGTTGAAGAAATCCATCCACTCCTACGTTAACCGCAATATTCATAAACCGATATATCTTAGCTAACATTTGCAAGAGTCTAGGATCTTGAAAGCTAGCGTTCTTTCTGGTTCGTCGGAGAATTAATTTAAAAATTAGTGACCGTTTTCATCATTTCCCGCCTTTTTTTCTTATTTGAGTTTCGACAATGCTTCTTACTTACTGTTAATTAGAAAACTAAATCAAGCTATTATTGAAGGAAATTACTTAACTATTATGCATCACCTATATAATACATCAACAGCATTGACAGCATTATTCATTTACTTCCTCGACGAAATAAATATCGTTAAGTAAATTAGTTAGAATGGTTGTGAGAAAAGTGTCATTATTTACGCATATTTTATAGCAGATAAGTAAGACTTGAAAGTGATGCTAAAATAAATTTATGAATACAAACTTTCTCCCTTCCATCGCTCAGCCGGGCGAGGAGGCGCCTGAAGTAAATACGATGCTTCAGTTTGTTTATATGCAATTGCTGTGCTCTTCTTTAAATAAATATACGTGTTTTTCTACTTAGCTTACGGCAAAGAATTTTTTTAACACTTTTCACATGAATGCTTGGATTCAAAAATATATAATGTTTGCGTAAATAATTCGAAATTTAACAAGTTTTCGTTCCATACTTTGTTATGATCAAGAATCTTCGTTTATCCCTTTACCAAGAGCTCGTACACATCTTAAGTTAAAGCGTCAACTGAATATTCGCCTGTGTTTTGGCTTCCTAGCAATATATATGCCATGTTAAGGGGAGTTCTTGTGTGTTTGCCTTACGTGCTTTCGGATAGAATCCTGCCCTGTCTAGAATCTATCTTATGATAATAGATTGAAACTGATCGATATAGCTATCCTTACGAAAAGAGATGTGAGATCTTTAGTATAACGTTCGCAATTGTAAGCTAATAAAAGGAAAGGTTTTGCTCATCAACTTTATTGGTGCATATGGATACTGATAACCCCGGCAGTGTGTGAAGGCATTTCGTATTTATGAAGCTACCACAAATCCAAACTAATTATGTGTTGTTGTAAAATGTTCACTACTGACCACTCCGTGATTTTCCAGCTTCGCCCACTAGTGGCATTAAAAGCATGAACTAACTCCCAAAAGTTTCCGATCTTTCTATAAACACTACCCTGTCATAACAATTTCTCGAAAATTTGCTATGTCTCAGATATATGTTCACATTTTAAACTCTCTATTCTTTGTTGTGGAGTACTTTTCTACATTCAATTAACTTTAAATATTTAGCTATTAAGGCACAGGTGCTCCTCAGCTTATAAATAACTTTACTTTCCTGATTTATCATTATTGATATACATAATCACTCATCAGCATATATTCCTTCTCTATATGTAAATATGTATATTTACATATGTATGTATGCATGTATACAATTTTAGACAGATTCTATTGTAGATTTTAGGTAGATATTAGCTTTGCTCTACAATCAATTATCTTTTAGGTTACATCCGGCGATTGGTAGTCTGGTGTGTAGAGGAATTTATTTAGTAATTGGAATAAAGCTTTGGAGACTTGGTCATAAGGTCTTGGGGAGCAGCATTGACGAGAGTCATTCACAATAGGAATACTCCCTGAATTGAATTTAAATAATGAATGATGACTATGGCTAAATACATTCAGTTGTATGAGGTTAGCATTCGTAATATCCTTAATATCCTTAGTGCCAAGAAGACAACAATTTTACGATTAATTAACTTAAGCTTGTTAATTATTTTGGCTATCACTCACTAAGGGGTAAGCAATTCAATACTTATTAAAGGTAGAAAAGAATGGATCTTTCAGGATTTCCACTGCCATCTGGCGCTCGAGAAGGCGAATCGGAGACTACATGAAATAAGTAGGAAAAAGGGCAACCCTTTTAAATGGCAATTGAGTTTTAATGGATTGGAGTGTGTATCAGGATACCTATATATAATAAAAAAGATTGCTGGGAAACTCTTAGTCGTATTTCACTATCTGCGGTTAATTTCACATCTCAAGGCAAGCAAGCAGAATGCATTATGTGGCAGAGTATTACGTTCAATAGTGTGGATAAAATACATTTAAGACATTGCATTTGATATGGGTTCGAGAGAGGAAGCAAAGCACCTGCGTCTGCTTGTAAGGACTTATATCAGACATTGGAAAGTGAAGCTGTAAATGTTCGGATCTATCGGAGATTTCAGTCTCAAAGAATATCGTCGATCTGAGCGAATAATGACACATCCAAACACTTTTCACCTACAGAGGAATTTGTTATTCATCACTCGACTGGGGAGAAACAGATAAAACATCTTCAAACTTAAATGATAAACCTTTCCCGACACCCTAATATCCATATATATTTATATACTTTGAATCAAAGAAGGATCCTCAAATATGGTTCCATTTCTTCTCGGCCACTTCAAGCAAAAGAAACTTTCGGTGCCAGGTTCCTAGTTTTATTTGTTTCCCTTAGAGCTCGAGCTTTTCTTTTCTTCCAAATTATCACTCATTAGAGGCATGAAGAGGTCTTAAACTTGTGTAAAATCTTTCTCATTGATGTGGCCAGGCGATGAATAAAGATTTTACCCATTACATGAAAAAATTACAGCTAACGCAAGCAGTGTTCTTGATATGTTTTTCTTGACACATTCTGCCTGTTTTTTAACTTTCCATTTATAAATCAAAGTTTAATTTTTGTTTAAAATTTTTATAAATTTATTTATTTGTTTATTTTTTTTCCTTGAATATTTCTTAAATGACTTACAACGTTTTGATAAAAAACAACTTTGGGTCAGTCTATACTCTCAAAAAAGAAAAAAAAAAATTGTGTTTACTTTCCGCAGGCAGTTAATTTTAACCAAATAAATTTGGCACAAATAATTTCTTGCGTTTAGTTTCCGTTCGTTTGTAACGCTCGAGAGGAGGTGTAAATTTCACATTGCCAGACTCGTCATTGTCTTGACGACGAGCTCCCGATACTGGTGTAATAACACCGTTATCTATGTAATAATATCCACGATTTAAACGATTTAATAAACTATCTCTTTGTTGTCTGGGCAATGGATCGAACGACGACGATCTAGACGATAAATAGTAGTTGTCATCAGCAGGAGGATTAACTGAATCCAATGGTTGTGTTGAGACGAAGTCATCGATATCATCGCTGTAGGCAGGGAAAGCTTTAGTCTTACTAACGAAACTAATCATCAGAATGCTTAGCATTATAGGAAGTATGAAGTAGAAATCCTAAAATAGGTATAAAGTTGTTACATAAGCGTTAACATTAGTCGAACTGCTTTTCAGTCGGTTTACCTTTGGAATCATTGTTGCTTATTGTTTTGTTTTTCTTCTCTTATGTTTGATCTCCGTTGTTGTTATTGGTTTGACTTGCAAAATAATTCTGCTTATAGAACAACACTTGATCTGGCCCTTTTATATGAAATTGAAATATGAATTTCATCTTTGAAATATTTTCACACTTTCATGCGAATTTACTGCTGCGCACAACAAACTCGTGCTGTTGAAGAAAAACAACATTTAATTTTTCTTTTTTTTTTTTGTTTTATTTGCTCATTCTGAATGCTTACAATTGACGCCAACGTCGTCAGCAGCGATATGCGTCGCGTAAATATTTTGAAGCTCAACGTAATAATTCCTGTTAGGAAAATCAATTAACGTTTTCAAACTTCAATTACCAGTAACTGTTACAGTGAAACAGGAAATAATTACCTAAAACCTTTCTTATCGCAACTAATCACAAATCCGTATGAGTGGTAGTAGTAGTAGTAGTAGTAGTAGTAGTAGTAGTATTAGTAGTAGAAGGTAAGAATCGCGATATAGTAAGTCAATGTTCGAAGGGTAAACACCCAAGTGAAGTAGAGGTTACTTGGGTCGTGGGTATAGTGAGTGACCAATCAGTAAAGTCATCATCCTTATCGATTGGGCAAGAAGTCCGTTGTAAACCGACTTATGCCAAACTAACATTATAGCATTCGAGGGACACACTGGTTTTCAAATTTTGAAGTATACTTCTCCTCTAGTCTGACGGTTTTCGTGACTGTTAATATGAAAGTTGAGGTTCAGCATTACAACGAGTATCGCAGTGTTCCTAATCTTCATGAGGAGGTTTTTTTCGGAGAACGTTGATGTATTCCTATTGCCCGCAAATCTTCAACCTGAATACTCAACTTTATCTAGCCCACTATTCTCCGCGTTTGTAGCAAAGTTTACCCACTAGTTTGCCATTAAGTCTTACTTAATACTCGATTCACTTTTCATCACTTGTACCCAATACGGATAAACGTGCTGTCGACGTTGGAAACGAATTTGAATTCATTTCCTTTTGCAATCAGATCAACCGCATTCAGTTAGATTGCATTGCTGCATGAGTAGACGAATAGGTAAGAATCGAGACTACCAAGTCAATACAAGCGGGTTGAAATCTCAAATGTGGTAAATTTTAATTTGCTCGTAGTTGTAGTGAATGCTCAGTCGGTGAAGGCATAACACATTTCTGATTTGGCCCATACCTACAACTAGACTTTGTAAATTTTATAATTTAGACAAATTGTACATTATCATGTGTGGACATAAATTCAATCCGCAAAAAGTGGTTGAGCACTATGTGCCAAATTGCAAATTAAGTGTTAATTTTTAGTATAACCTGACTATTGTCTTATTATTGAGAATGTAACTTGCATTCACTTATATATTCAGCTTATATATATAATTATAATGATAATATTAAGTAAACCAGGGCGAATGCATATGCATGTAAATGCAAAATCCTATCGGTGTACGTTTTATCAAACCAAATTTTTCTTACTTTAACAAAATCGAATTCAAATTTCATGCCAAGAAAATCGAACTTAAATAACTCATACTAACAAAATCGAACCCTAATTTCTCATACTAATAAAATCGCACCCAAATTCCACGTCCAAATAAGCGAGATCTGTTATTCCCTACTTTAGTTTGTTCACTATATTAGACAGGATATATTTGCAATCAGCTGCGTGGGAATCCCTGATTCGAGCTGCGTTGAACATTTCTCAAGGTAGAGCAGAACTAAAGGAACACACACTAGAACTTTTGCTTTCTCTGCTTACACTGTTTTTTTTTTTTCTTTTTCTTTTTTGCTACTATTTATTTATTTATTTATTTATATTTTGTTATTATCGGTTATTGAATTCTAAATTTTTCAAAGTTATTGAACAATACAACCGATCAAACAAAGCCCTCGCTAAATTTCCTGTTAAAAGGCAAAGCACAGAGTCGCTTATAATAAATAAATGGTTAAATGCCCAACTTAACAAAAATGTTAACGCCAAGCAGCTAATGTTAAAGGCCCAACTTAACAGATCAAAGATAATCGATTCTGTTAAATAACAGATCAAACATAATCGATTCTGTTAAATAACAGACCAAAGGTAATCGATTCTGCTAAATGCAAAACAAAGATTCAAAAATGTATGGATGTATAATTTAAAGTGATTAAAATCTCAACTTCGTAAACCCAACCTTTACGCCGAAAAAAACATATGAAATATTAAAAAAAAATGAAGATTAAGTAAAATGCCTTTATTGATGTTAGTAACACGGCTGCGGGGCTTTCGCAAAATCCGGAACCCATAATAGCCAATAAAGAACGCTCGGATGGAGGAAATAAGTCATAAATTAATGCATTATATCTTAAATATAAAATAAATGAATTTCAGTAGAAAAATAACGCCTGTTAGTAAAAGCGCCACAAGAATTCATTGCTTGTTATATTAAGAGAAAAAATGTTAATAAAAGAGAGTTTGCCTTTAATGTATTCTCTTTCGCTCTTGTTTGTAGGCAGATTTAATTTAATTTATTACCGGGTTGTAAAAATTTTTCTATTACATTTGTTTTCTACTACATTTATTATCACAAATACTTGATTAATGCTTTATCTCTATAAGAAAAATCTGCCCTGAGTTACACAGTTGCTAATTTACTACCGCGAACGAAGACAAACGTTTACTTGCAATAACTGTCAGTTTTCAACAGATTAAGGATGAAAACACAATGAAGATTCGCTTATATTTTCACAAATTAAGTAAATAAGTAATTGACACAATGTCGCTTACATTCCCAGGGTTGGGGGAAGGCCATTAAATCATAAACTCGTTCCTAAAATTAGAGGTAAATTTAGTTTATAAATGTTTATATATATAATATACGCACAATTTATAAATTTGCAAAATTGAAGCCAAACTCCCCCAAACGTGAGAGCATTAGTGAAGCAGGCCATGCTTTAGCAATATCCAAATAGACTTGTAATACTTGAATTGTTTTTCAAGACGCTGTGCCCGCTTACATTGCATAAGCAACTTTTATTTTCAGACGCAACAACAAACCGAAGCCTCATTATGTCAATAGTCTTTTATCTAATGTTTGTGTTAAAATCTTATTGGAATATTTTTTGCTTTTTTCCTTTATTAATGTTAATGATAGCTTTATTTATTTTTTTCACGTGACCAAAGTATTCAATGTGTTGTATTGTCTGCTTATGAGATAAAATAAAGAAAGAAATTATAAACTTCGAGTTTAAAATCGGTTTTATTAGTATAGGCAACTACAAGTACAATTCCATTGACCATTTCAAAAAGACAAAATCCCTTTTAATCCCTTTTAGAGGTAATCTTATTGGTAAATTGTGTTTAAATTTATAAATTTGGCAACACCAAGAAACTTTGAGCTGAGTTGTCTATTTTTTGCTAGAACAATTACAATTTTTTTTTGGAGAAAAGTGCAAAAAATTTAAAAGAAAATATTGTAAAAAGTTTATCTAATAAATTCCGCAACAAGACCTTCTTAAAACAATTACATTTAGATAAGAAAGCGTGTTTATGAGCTTGTACGATACGTTTTGTGTGGAAGGGAGGAGACCAGTTTCATTTGCGAACTTTGAAACTTTCGATCGCTAAAACATACAAGGATTTCATTTCTCGTTATTATCTATTCTTGTATGCAGGTATCTATATAGTTGTGCGTGTGTGAGTGAATATCTGAATCAGTAAGACGGAATAAATGTTCTGCTAATTTGGTAGAAATTCTTGGGAAAAGAAAAAAAAAAAACTGTGAATAATTTCAATATTCATTCGAGTATTATACAGCTTTACCTGTAAATATTCATTTTTTCCAAAATGTATGTAACAACAACACAGTTAACACAGTTCAAAGAAGAAGCAACAACGTCATCTGTTTATGCCTACGTCACAAACCGTCTAGCCTCACAAAGAATAGGCTCTATATGCTCTGTCATATGTGTAAAGTTATTTGTGATTGATATCGTTTTGATAAAATAGTCTTCGCTTCTTTTTTTTTTTCTTTATCGAAATTCCTAAGTGAATGTAATAGCTTTTGTAACGGTTGACAACAAAAAAAAAAGAAAAAAAAAAAGACGGAAATTAAAAATTGAAAACCCTGCAAAAGCAGTAACAATAGTCCATTTTATAAACATGTCATGTTTTTATTTGATGAACTAGGTCAATATTTGTACATATGAACGCGAAAATGTCTTTTCACTTATTGTACTCTACGAAATTATTAAGTTATTGATATTATTGCCATTGAAAGGCCGTTTTCGCTTTCCTTTGTTACAATGCAAAGCAACGATTGTGTTTTTAGTGATAAGTGCAAAATGAAAGAAATTTGAACAGTTACAAGTCACGCCTAAAATCTTCCGAATGTCTTCACTTTTATTTAGGTCATTAAACCGGGTATAATAATTTCGTGACAACGTTTCCATATCTCAAATAAAGTTGAAATTTGATGCCTTTTTTATTATTGTAACGATCAATTTATAATTGCATTTCTTATATCCGCTCATTTTATTTATTTGCTAAAATTGCAATTTCATCTGAAAATATACGAAAATATAAACACAAAAATTTGTAAAAGGAACGAAAGCTTTGTTAAACAGTTTTCAAATTCTTGCTTTAATTCAGATCAGGTAAATGTGTCTAAGTTTTGAGAAGTCATAATACATGAAGTTTGCAAGTTCTTGATCAAGAGTTCATTTCCATGAATAAAATAGTAATAAGCTTATTATGAGTTCGCATTGTCAAAATTAGAAGTTTTCGATTTTAATTAAAAAAAAATTGATAGAAAAACTATTTCAAAAGGTATATATTTAGTGAAAATCTTCGCTGCGTTACAAACACAAATCCGAAATTTAAAAGAAAAATCGTTTAGTTGAAGGATTAGTCGTTGCTATGACAGTATCAGAAAGCCAAGCTAGTATCCTATAAGTTAGTAAATGTCAATTTTTAATTACGAGTTCTAGCGTGAATTTGGTTTATATCTTCTTTTCGATTCAGTTATTTATATATTTACATTTTACTTTATATTCAATTAAATATTTTAAACAGATTTCTATGTGTAGAAATTAAGTAAAAATGTCAGCTACTACAAATAAAAATTTCCCTTTATCTGGCACCGGGCAAGTCAATATGGTCAACGGTGTACCTAATGATTCTTCACATCAGCAAATGCAGTCACAACAATCTCAGACGCATCCGCAATTGCACTCGCAGCAGCAAATATTGCAACAAAAACAGCAACAGTTGGGCGCAATGTCCTCACCACCAACCATGAATAATAGTATATCTAAATATATGCCCCCATCTGTTGCGCTAACGAATACATCTGCGCCTGTCAATTTGGTAACTAGTACTAGTAACTATCTGCCTCCCTCAACAAATGGTCCGTTGCGTGCACCTATCACGCAAGCCGTACCCGCTCATATGAGGCCTCCTCTGCTCAACGGTTCTAGTGCGGAAAGTAACGGAGCTAGTGGTAATTCGTCACGTACGGCTTCACCGTTGCTGCAAAGCAATTCGCAGTATGGAGCGGAAATGCCCCAAAACATGCAAACAGTTCCAAGTCAACAGCAGCGGCAACTACACCAGCAGCAGCAACAGCTGCATATCCAGCTGCAACAACAGCAGCCACAATTACAGCAACAGTTGCAGCAATCCCAGCAACCACAGTTACAGCAACAGTTGCAGCAATCCCAGCAACCACAGTTACAGCAACAGTTGCAGCAATCCCAGCAGCCCCAATTACAGCAACAATTGCAGCAACAGAAGGTACAGCAATCCCAGCAATCGCAAGTACAGCAGCAACTTCAGCAACAGCAACTGCAACAATTACATCAACACCAGCAACAACAAAGACAGCAGCAGCAACACCAACAAATAGAGCAACAGCTGCTACAACCACAGATTAACACGCGTGCTACAGAATCTAATCAACTTGATGATAAAAAATTGCAAACACAACAAATACTGCCATCAATGCCACCGTTACCAACAGGAAATATTAATAGCATTACAGGTAGTGTAAACAATTTGAGCATAAATGCCAATGGCCCACCGCCATCGGGCCCAGTGCAACCTCAAACGATGCAAATGACCGCGAGAAATACGATTCCTCCAGCTTTGCCTCCCCAGGCGAAATCAAATAATTTCCCGGTAATTGAGGTCTTTAAAGATGAAAATTATCCCTTAATTTGTATTTTATTTTATTTGTAATTTTAGCTTAATTTCAAATCATCCGCTTCGATTCCGCGAATGATGCAACCACCACCTCCCTCAATAAATACTTTGAATAGTTCAACAGATTTAAATAGTGCAATTAATACTCGTGCTTCTAATCAGCCAATCGTGTATGGTGCGCCATCGTTATATACACAGAACCAGAATCAGTCTCAAAATGCCAATTATACTCCAGCAACAACAACAACTGGGACAAATTCACCACCAAATGCGATACAACAAAATCTCTTGAACAATAATCCGCAGCAAAATCAACCTGTAATGGTTCAACGAAAGTATCCCAGTATGCAACAACTGCCACCAATGCCGCCTCCAGCTTCTCAACAACCACAGGCGTATTCTGCTGCTTATTTACAGCAACAATCGACCTCAAACTTGCAACCAGGTGTCTTCAATGGTCAACCGACAACTGGACCTTTGCATTATCAAGGACAACCTTCACAGCAAGCGCAATATCCAGCTGGAACTGTCCTGCAGCAAGGCTTCAGCCGTTTATGGGGCCAAGACACTGTAGATCTAATGCAAAATCGTCACATTTTATCGCCGGCTACCTTGCAACCTCCCCGTATTATTTTACATAATCAATTTCATGAATCAATTAACTGCAATCCAAAGTAGGTCTGCTAGTTTCTAGCAATTTCTTTTTAGCTTTTATAAAAGCTGGCTTAATATTTTTTTTTCGTTCCTTTTTTTCTTCTGATCACTCAGTATCATGCGTTGTACGTTAGCTAAAATACCGGAAAGTAATTCCTTGCTCCAGAAATCGCGTTTACCTCTCGGGATTTTAATTCATCCATTCCGCGATATAAACGTAAGTGAAATAAATCGATGCCACTACTACTCACAATCTATTTTCAACAAATTCTGATTGCAGAGCTTACCGGTCATACAGTGTCCCAATATTGTGCGATGTCGTTTGTGTCGAACTTACATTAATCCCTTTGTATATTTCGTTGATAGCAAAATGTGGAAATGCAATCTTTGCTACAGGGTCAACGAATGTAAGTTTTAAAACGTTAATTTTATGGTGTTCAGTATCTTCGACCTTTCATTTGCAGTGCCTGATGATTTTCAATTCGATCCAGCTACGAAAACTTACGGTGACGTTACACGCCGGCCGGAAGTGCGTTCAAGTACTATTGAGTTTATAGCACCTTCAGAGTATATGGTAGGCCATAGATGAACGTTTTTCGTTTTCCAGCTTCAATGTCACTTTAACGTTGTTTCATCTTTGTGTAGTTGCGTCCCCCACAACCTGCTATTTATTTGTTCCTTTTTGATGTCTCAATAATTGCCCAACAATGCGGTTATATGGATAATATTTGCGCCATGCTTAGTACCCACTTAGACGAAATGCCAGGAGATGCGCGAACCCAAGTAGGTTTTATTGCTTACAACAGTCATGTGCATTTCTACAGTATGGCGGATGGTTATAATCAACCTCACGAAATGACTTTGCTAGATATAAATGGTACGTAAGAAATTAGTTTTTTACTATTATATCACGTAAATGAATGTAATCTGCTTTAGATCCCTTTTTACCACGGCCGGATAATTTGCTGGTTAATTTGAAAGAATGTAAGGAACTAGTCAAAGATCTGTTGAAACTGCTACCGAAACGTTTTGCTGATACCCATGACCCAGGCTCTGCATTGGGATCTGCGTTACAGGTGGCATACAAATTAATGGTGAATAGTTTTGTATAATTTTCTTATGAAAATTGATTGGGATTTATTGTTTGTATTGTATTTGGGTTTGTAGCAGCATTCGGGTGGTCGGATAACCGTTTTCCAAACGTGCCTTCCTAATAAGGGTCCTGGTGCTTTAGAGCCGCGTGAAGATCCCAATAATCGTTCCGCTAAAGATGTGGCGCATCTCAATCCTGCAACAGATTTTTATAAACGTTACGCTCTAGAATGCTCAGGCTATCAAGTCGCAGTCGATCTTTTCCTTCTTAATCAACAATATAGTGATTTAGCTACGATTTGTAAGTGCTTTACTTTAATCCCCCAAAAATTAATTTTTATCATATATTTTTCACCAGCTGGCATAAGCAAACATAGCGGTGGTTGCATCCATCATTTTCCGTTATTTCAAAAGACTAAAAGTCAAGTAGTGGATGCATTAATGAATTGCTTTAAACGTTATTTGATGCGTAAAATAGGATTTGAAGCTGTTATGCGTATTCGTTGCACTCGCGGTCTTCAAGTACATACATTCCATGGTAATTTCTTTGTGCGTTCTATCGATTTGTTATCGTTGCCTAACGTTAATCCGGATGCCGGTTATGGCATGCAGGTAAATGTAGAATAATAATAATAAATTATCGTTTCGTTAAATTATAATGAATTATTTTGTCCAGATTTCATATGAAGAAAGTTTAACAGACGTAAAGACTGTTTGCTTTCAAGCGGCCTTACTATATACCAACAGTGAAGGAGAACGTCGTATACGGGTGCATACTCTTTGTTTGCCAGTAACTCCGTCACTGCCCGAACTTATGCATGCAGCTGATACGGAAGCTATTATCGGTTTGTTATCTAAAATGGCTGTTGACCGCTCGCTCACATCAAATGTTGCCGATGCTCGCGAAGCATTCATAAACGCTACCATCGATATTTTGAATGCATTTAAAATTGCACAAAATTTACCTTCAGGGCAGAGCGGACAATTAATTTCTTCACGTAGTTTGGCATTGATGCCATTGTATATTTTGGCTCTTTTGAAACACGTGAGTGCTTACTATTCTTTTAATTTATCAAACATGACGTATTGATGAATTTGTTCAGCCCATCACCGAAGGACAGAACTGTATTAGAATTGTTTTTCCATTTATAAAACTCAAAATGTTCAGGGAATAAGAAATTTGTATCACATACCACCTTCACCTAAAAGGGGTTCTCATGAAAAGTAGGCCCTTTCATATGAAAACAAGGTTTAATTCATCACTTTTCATGATGAAAACAAGTATAAAGTAATAAAATCTTTGAGTGATAGATGAAGTTTGCTAAATTTGGATCGGGCCGGTTGACGTTTTGAGTACCCTCAGCCTTTAAATGAAGACAACGTATAATATGTAAAAATCAGTCATATTATACTCTATATGCTCTGTCAGGTGGTGCAGGGTATCAATGGTCGCCCTTACCCGACTATTTTACTTCATTAGGTTTAGTGTATTCCTTGCAGTCATGAGAACTCCAACGAGGCTACATGAATTAATTTTGAATCTACGTTAAACTGAGTAATAAACATACATACGTTTATCGTATCGTGTCTGTTGTGTGGATTGCTTGTTGTTGTTGTCCCAGGAATTGAAATATTTAAATAGAAGCGTACGATTATAGAGCATTACGGAGATGCTTACGCGAAGATGGTTTACAATAATAAGTTTTTATTTTTCTTCTTCATACTTTAGCCTGCATTTCGTGTTGGTACAAGTACCCGACTTGATGATCGCTTTTACGCTATGGAATGCATGAAAACGTTACCTTTGGATCAACTCATGAAATACATTTATCCTGAATTCTATAATATTGATGTATTGTTTTACAATGCTCAAACTATAAACGCAAACGCGACTGAAGACGATGATGAAGAAGACTTACCAGATGTACCACGTTTGCAATTATCGGCTGAGTAGTAAGTACTTACTACACTTATTCGAGTATTACATATCTAGCTCTCTTATGCAAAGCGAGTGCAAAACGCGAAAGATGGAGCATAGATCTTTATCAAGTTGTATTTTTGACAATATTAAGATGAACCTTAAGATAAAACCAAAGCTAGTTTGCGCAACTGCATTAAGTTATCGCTTGTCTATGTTGCTTGTATCTTGAATACAATTTAAATGGCAAAACGGATAATAGCTTGAGAAATGTCTAGAATTAGCTTAAAACCGTTGATTGACTAAATTCAAGTCTTTGCTGTAGTTAGACTATGATTAGACGTGGAATGTACTTAGGAAAAAGGGGATAATATCCTGAAAGACGAATGATAATAGATGCATACCATGCTAAACTTTTTTAAATGTTAGCTGACGATAGCTTGGAAAGTGAATTGTAACTTGAAAAACATTAGGAAAGATGATTATTAGAAAAGCCTATATAACATGGCATGAAGGGTGTAGAATACTCTAGTGCAACATAGGTGGATAAGTCTACAAAAGAAGTCTTTACAAAAGGACAATGTGAACATATGTGCAGAGGTGCATAGGTAGCGCTTTGAATAAAATAGTTGATAATCTTAAAAGTTGTCGGAAGAGAAGCTATATTTAATTTTCTGGTTAAGTTGTCCAAACGAATGATGCGTTATGTTTAGAGAGAACAACCAGTTGAACTAAGTTTAAAAGGTTCTCTTTTCCGGTGTTTCTGTTTCAAGAAAGTGAGAACATATCCTTCAGTTCCAATTCTTAAAGATGTAAAAATCTTTATGTGCAATTCGAATTAATTCAAAAAAAAATCGCAATATAATTGGATTTATTCTGTATAAAATACGATAGAATCTTGTCTTCCTTTTCTTACGCCCGCCACCACTTCTGGTACAAATTTTGATCGGCATGTTTGTGCGGATGTATGCAATATCCAGAAGGACTGGAGATGGACTCGTCGTTTATTATGCACCTGTTATTATACTTTCAGGTTGTCTGTCTGTCTGTCTGTCTGTCTTGTTTTCCTATGTTCAAGTTGCAGGCCGCAATATTTGATATATTTCATCAAAGGTTCATCCATTGACGTGCTTTGGTTTAAAGGCCGACGCTATTCACAGTGACTCGGATCGGACCACTTTTTCGTTTATTTTCTATACAACATTTTACTGTGACAATTACATTATATGAATGACTGTAAACTAATATAAGGCTAATTAATGATGAGTCCTGTCCCACTATAGTGTTGTTTATACTTTGTTTTTATTTACCTAAATTACGAATAAACTAAAATTGAATGAATGAATGAAATTATTACGAAATAAATGTTCGTTTATTTTAACTTTCAGTTTGGATTCGCGTTCTATATTTTTAATGGACTGCGGTATGTTAATTATGATTTACGTGGGTCTTAATGTAGCTCCCAGCATATTGGAAACCGTATTTGGTAAGTGAAAAGAATTAAAATTAAATATCTTACTTTCATGAAAATATGTAATTTATTATTGTCTCACATTTTCTGTCATAGGTGTTAAATCAACAAGCGAATTGGTTGATTACATATATGGTTTACCAAATATTTCAAGTGCTGAAAGTTCTATTCTAAAGCGATTTTTAAACAAGTTAAACGATGAGAAACCATACAATCCAATTATACAAATAATTAGGTGAACGTTTTGAAATTTAATTTCCATTTTCAGTAAATAGTCTTCCTTTCTTCCAACTTTCTTTCAGGGATACTAGTACAGCCAAGCCACAATTCATTGAGAGATTGGTCGACGATCGCAGCGAATCTAGTTTATCGTATTATGAATTTTTGCAACACATAAGAGCTCAGGTTAAATAATAGTTCAATGTTCGATAGGTTGGTTATGTAGAAATTGGGGAAATTTTTTATTAAAAGATTTACGAAAATTACAAACACCCTTTACTTATAATTATAAGAAATTGATTGGACCTTGTATACAATTCAACACAATAATAAAACAACAATAGAAACATTCGTTTCGTGTGAATATAATAATAATAATAATAATAAAGGCTACCAACTAATTAGCCTAAAAAGTGTCAAGAGTTCAAACAATATTCATTCATTACTACTGTCACCAAAGTATACGTATACGTAAACACATACAGTTGTGTTATGCCACGAACTTTTTGACGTTATTACCTTAACGAAAGAATAATTTCTTGTTTTCACGCTACGACTTTCATTAGATGGAGGAAAAAATTGCAAAAATTAAAAAAATGCGAAAAACGGATATTAAACACAGAATACAAAGAAAAAAAATCATTTCTTTTTTTTTTTTTCATTGTACTCAATTTTCACAATAGTGTTCATACGCCTGACTATTATTTCTTAATAGCAAATATAAACAATACATTATGTTGTCAATAAAAGAAAACTAAAAAAAAAAAAAAAAAATCATACAAAACTCCAAAAATGCATTGAACTCAAATATGTAATAAATAAAATGGAAAAAAAAAGAAAAACAATAAGAGGGCGAAGGGTAAAATAGAAACTAAAGACAAATCAGCAGTAGCTCTCATATGTATCGACATTTTAACAATGATTTTAATGTCCAAGAAATAAACGCATAACTAAAAGGCAAAAGTGTGCATATAAAGATAAAATTTTACTTAGTTAAATTATGTAAAAGAAAACGCAATACTAATTGCACGTATTAACTATATGTAAAGATTATTTATATGATTATAAATTGCATTTCCTATTTTTTTTTTCCTAGCCTATTACGCCTCAGTCTATTTAAAGGTCAATTTTTCTTATATATGTTGGTAGGGATACAATTATTTTCAAAAGTTCCATTAGTGTTTGTTTTAAATTTTGTTCCTTTTTCTTTCTTTAATTTCCTTTTGCTAAAGGAATATTTTTATTTATTAATTATACCGATTGGTTTCTTAAAAATTGTTATTATTAATTAAAATTTCTATTTTATCTAAATTTTGAAATTTACGTCGAGTAAACTGAGGTTTAGATGATTGTCCATTATGTACTACTTATTGTTATAAATATATAGTGTTACGACTTATGTAATGTGAATTATGAATTCGTTTTCCTTTAAAAATACACTTTTACACTTATCTGGGTCAGCTTAATGATTTTCCTAAAATAATAATATTTTCAAATATATGATGACTGAGTGTGAGCTTACATATAATTATTTATTGAGAGCTTTTGAAAATTTTCGTTTTGTTGAATACTTTGATTCAAAAAATCGTGATTTATTATCTATTATGTAACAGAATGAAAATTGAGGGCCTCGGATGTTTACCTTTGAAATGAAATACTGAAAGATAGCTTTTTTTTTAAATTTAAAATTTTTTTTTTAATAAAATTTATTGGCGATTTTTAATTTATTGTAAATTTTTTTTAAAAATAATTCAAGCTTTGCTGAAACATTTCAATAAAATGGGACAACAAGTTTTACGAGCTATTGCAAAAAAACTCCTTAACGTGAGACTAAGAAAAAAAATGAACTCTGTAATATCAAGTGGGGATGGCTGACTTTAACAGACAGATGGACAGAAGGACTGACAAATATGTCTGCAACGGTCCACATTTGATATTCATCAATAATATGTAGACTTTGTGTATTCTCTGAAACTTCTTTTTGGGCAAACGTTTTTGTACAAGAATGAAATTTTAGTATTCTATAATATTAAGTAGGCGAGGCCGATTTTTTTTTTATTTTTATGCATCAAGGTGATGCAGGACCACCCACAAAATATAAATGGCAATTTTTATCGTTGCATGTAAGCATTGATTTGGCTCAAATTTCTGTGCAAGAACTTCCAATAATCTTTGCGCCAAGTTTGATTGCTATATTTTTGTGATCAGAAGAGTGTTGGCCAGAAACGGGCAGACGGACACGCTTAAATCGGTTCAGAATTTAATGCTAATCAAGATTATATATGTTTAATGGAGCTCTGAAGCTTCCTCCTTGATGTTTCCAACGTTCTGACAAAATGAATGTATGACGGACCACTATCTCCTTATTTCTTTCTTTCTTCGCGCTTCTTTATGATTGTCACTGTCTTACACGACTAGTGGACAGCCACTGAGATTAAAAAAAATATATATTTATACGAAGTGTGATTGTTTCTTGTTTCCATTTTCGTGGAGGGAACGTGTCTATTTGCACATATAATTTGTAGCCATCAATTCAATTCAGCGTGGCAAGGCGAGGTGAGGGGAGTTTTGATGCAACGATTGTGTTAAATTTTGAATAATAGTCGGTTAACGATTCTCATTATTCAGCTATCGTATAACAAATTAATGCAAAGAACAGAATTTTCTCTGGTAAAGAAATTGGCGAAAAATTTATAAATCATTTAGAGCAAAGTTTAATAAATTGATTATATCGTTACTTATTTATGTTGTCAAATTTGTTTTCCTAATACCTAACATGGTCTTTATAGCCTCTATATCTATGATGGATCTCCAATTATTCATTTAGGGTTTTTTTTTTTCTGACTTTCCAACGGCCGTCCCTCCGTCACCGTAGAATTCGGATACCTCTTCATAGGCCAGATGCTGATGATCACACTTACTTACTGCTTATCTACTTTCTAGTAACTCTATATTTCAACTTTTTGCCATCCCAGAGATTTTTTTTCTTTAGTTTCATTTATCTCATGGCACCAATAGGTAAAAACATCTAAAATAATTATTCGATTTGCTTTTCGAGTTAAAAATATAACATTTTACATCCGATATCGAGCAAATATTTATACGTTATCGAATACAATCAATCTAGTGCCTGTTAACGAGTAGTCGTTAACGGGACTTATCAACCCAAAATGCGAATACAATGTCGAGTTCGAATCGACCCCATTTTTCTATTACTAGGCGGGGTTAATAAGGTTATTTCCGTCACTTAAACTAATCCATAGGAGAGACAATTATGCAATATATTCATTTATTTTTTCCTTTAGACTGAAACTTTTTTTTTCCTTGATTATTTTTGTTTTTGTTTTTTTGTTTTTTTTTTGCTTTAATTATGTCATAATTTTAATTATCTAAAATCTTTATAATTACAACATTAAATATGTATTTATTTTAACTGGCAGATCAGTGTAAATTTAATATTAAAATGAAGCCATAGGTCACATTGCTATAATCAAAACACACAATGTATTTATATATAAAAAATATATATAAAAAAAAGTTAATCTATGAGTAAACTTTTATTATAATAATTAAAAAATAAAATAAAAAAGGAAAGAAAATAAATGCGTACATATATAATATAAAATACAAATTATATGTCTTACGATAACCAATAGAATTTAAATAATTAAACGTGGCTTCCTAAGAGCAGCGGATTGATTGATTTTTTAATCGGATAAATTAGGACAAGAGCTTAGAAGAGATTAAAGTGTTTACCAAAAAAAAAAAAACTAAAAAAACTATATTGATCCTACACCACCCTACAACTATTCATACATTCAAAGTAGTCCATAGCGTTCGTTCTTGGACCAAATTCCATCAAAATATCTCACAAATTGCAGCCAAACAAAGCAGAGCGACAGACAGGCAAGCTTAGATTGATGCAAAAGTGATTCTGATTCGATGGATGTAATAAAAGATGGATCTATGTGAAGCTCTTCTTCTGGGTGTTGCGTTTATCCGCGCAAACTTGACATACCCTTGGAATGCAAGGGGTGGAGAGTATGAAAACAACTTGTCTAAGAAGAAGTTAAATATCAAGAAAGAGGAAGATTAGGGAACAAAATTTTTTATATCCATCACCGTAGGATAAGGGGTACACTCATAATATACGTAACATCCAAAAGGAAACTTCAGACATCCTATAAAGCGTCGATTAGCCTGAAATTCTGAATTGATTTAGCCACGTGTGTCCGTCTAGGTAGGTGTCTGTGCGGTGCCTGTTGTTGGCACCATCCTGATCGCAAAGAGGAACATATCAACGTTAGATTTGGTAGAAACATTGCAAGGTTTTGTCCTTATTTATCATAAGTCAAACAAGACCGAATGTTTAAAACTATTTTGTACATTCCTCAAATGAAGATATTCTGTCTAGAAATGGATGGTGACCATCGCGACCTGGTGGATTAATTTTTTCTTAATAATCCCGACAAGATGGGTATCAAATAAAGGAACTTGGTGGGTGGAATTCGAAAAACATAAAGGTGGGTATGCGATATTCGGCACCCGCCGAATATAACTTTCTTATTTGTTTTATTTCTTTCAGATTAAAATTTGCACAGGTTTCAGTGCATGCCGGGAATGGAAGATACTTCGCTAGAAAGACGATTTCGGTGTCCGGCCATTTATTAATGCTTTTATATTCTACACCACTTGTGGTACAAGGATATATGGCAGCACCTAAGCGGCTTGGAAATAGACCCACTTATTTTGAAATATTCTGATGAAATTTGGTGCACTGGCGGGTCTTGAACCCAGGACGAACGCTATTGAATATAGCTTGGATCGGACTACTGCTCTAAATATTTAATGCATAATGCTATGTTTTGAAAAGTCGCCGTACAAATAACTGTAGAACGGTATACGGGAATTAAAAATAATTTTTTTGCTTGATATTTACGTCTGATAGCATCCCCCAATATTATTATTCTAATGATTTTTCTTCCCTTCGAAAAAAAAATGATCTAAAAGACTCTTTCTTTCTAGTTGTTATAGCGACGTTCCACTACAAATTGGTAGAGTTCGATTGTTATTAGTTCAAAAGAACGAATATACCTATAAAGGCTTGATAACAGATGGCTTTACAAACATGAGTCCGCTTTGCAAGTTCGTAAACTGTAAAGATGGTAATGGTTTATGATGCGCGTTTAAAAAGTTGTCCCTGTCTCAAGTGCACAGATGTAATAAAATATTATACTGCATTTTAATAAGTTCAAGTTTATTTATAATCGCTTATACACACACACACACACACACATCACGATCTGTACTTTGCATATAAGTGTAAAGCAAAAATAATATAATCTGTGAAATCTTACGTATGGAAATATTTGTTGTTGTTATAATGTGTTTATGATCTGATGACGACAATGATGATGATGATGATGATGATGAGCGCAAATCACTTTTTGCCGATGCCGATGTGTGAGGAAAGCGAGACGAAATGGAATTTTTGTTATATTTTAAATAAATACATCTTATCAATCAATCTTAAACGGTACAATATATGAATGACACAACGTGCATATGTGCATACGTGTATATCACTCTAAATGAATTTGAAAAGCGTATCAGAATTCTTATTGTCCATCGATTATTATTAGTTCAGTCGACACGAAATATTCAGCGCGTGAAGAATAAGTTGCAATCGTTTAAATTAAAAAATTTCGTGATAATTTAATACACCACATTCATTCGTACAAATGTTTATCAAAACCTTAGTAATTATCCTAATGTTAATCGTAAGATTCTTCATCGCAATACAGTCATCGCCAATTCTTGGTAAGCATAAGAGCATGAGAGGGAGAAAAGAGAAGAGAAATTTCACTTAAAAAATTTTCTATCATATTGTACACACGGTAGGTGAAGAAACTGAAATTGATGATCGATCGATAATACAAGGGAGATTAAAACCCATCTACAGCCATTGCGATGACATCGGTAATCATTTAAATTGTATGCTCTTCTGTAAAAGTTTGGGTCATACGTCTGGCAATTGCGCCGGTGATTCTACTTGCACTTGCATATAAGAATTAATTCAATAAGGCAAAAAAAAAAAGAAAAGAAAAACATATCTGTTAGTGTTTTTTCCGTTTATTACTGTTGTTGTTATTATTATTATTATTATTACAATTGTTTGTACGTTTTAAAAATGCTTTGTTCGAGAGAGAGAGAGAGAGAGAGAGAGAGAGAGAGAGAGAGTATGTGTGTAAAAAGTAATTTAAAAAAGTAATTAATATTAATATATTTACAAAACCAAATTGTTTTATGTTTTTAGTTATTACGTTTCTAACGCTCGTGTCACACTTAATATCCTTATCAGTACGCCGTATATAATCCTAGACAGTTCTATTAAAGAGAAATGTTATGTCATGTGTGCATTATATATATATATATATATACGTGTACAGAATCTTTTCATAAGATGTATTGTGTTTAAATTGCCGAGACGAACTCCGAGCATACAGCTGTTATTGCGAGCAACTGAAAAACTAATATATTCTCACCGATTGAATGTTCAAATTGCTTAACTAAGTAAGATCTTGACTTTTGAAACACATATATTCCGAGCACGGAGACTTATTTTCATCAATTTGCAATCCGTGATCAAGGTCTTGACTTTTTAAACAAATTTATTCTGAGCGTGTTAGGCTTAATTGCATCTGCTTGATCCCGCAAACTAACAAAACCGTTGCATCTGGCGTTGTGAGATAGTTTCGAATAATCTCTCCTCAACCGTGAAAGGGGTAGACAGTATGATGACGATTTTAAGCTGACGTTGTACTTTTTCGAAAATGCTACTAAATGATGTCGATTGTTTTTTTTTGACTTGAATTGAAAGGCGACACTAATATTGTTAGGGATTCCACCTGCACCTGAATTCATGACTCTTTCCGATAAACTCGGGTCTAAGAATATAAACAATACGGTTCCATTCTCAGGTATTTAATGTGAGCTGAAAAAGTAATCTGATCCAAACTATTTTCAATAGCGTTAGTACTTGAGCCAAAAGCCATGTCGATGTTCCTAAATTTGGACAACAAAGGTTACAAAGGTGGACACCTGAAGCATAAGAGACGGCCAGACATGCTATGACTCTTAATCGATCGTTACGATAGAAGGTGGTTCTATCTTGGTCGCTCGAGGTGCTGCATATTTAGCACAACCTTTTATCACAAGTGGTGTAGGGTATAACAAAACAGCTGACTCATTTGATTCAAAATTTTCCAAATCAAAATTAAGCTTGTCGAAGCACTCGCTCACTCCTTTTTGTTAAGATATTTCGAAGATTAAGAATGTTTTACGATGTAAAAAATCTTTTATTGAATTCTACAAAACATCTCATCGAGCATTTCTTCACCTAGATCTGTAAGGCGCATAACTCTCTCGTTATTGAACCACTCCATTAATCATTAAATACCTATTTGGACGCTGGACGCATGAACAAAAAATACAAATTCGATTTTGAGTTTGCTTGATAATGGGGATCCTAAAATTTTATTGAACAAGGATTTCAAATGTGCTGAGATGGCAGACACGAAGCATTGATTGTTCATCTCAATTGGTTTCCCTTTACCTTTGCTTTATTTATTTGCTTTAAATTTATTAGGCTTGATTGCGCGAATTCAAATTCGAAATATGAGAATCTATTCATTATTTAAGTAGTTATGCCAGAAACGTTTTCGTAATTGACAGCCGTCCGCCACTTAGCGCGGTACAAGTAGAGTACGACTTTGAGGCAACACGGCACAAGATTCGCGATTTGGTATTGTAGCTCGAATGCAACAGGATTTCAAAAAATCGATTATGTGTTTTTTTCAGTTGATCTTTGCTTTTATTTTTTTAATTTTATCGTTAAAGTGATGAGTTTCAAGCAAAGAAATAAAGTAATCGCAACGTTTGAAGAGAGAAAGTTTCGTGATCGTTACTATTATTTTTTGAATATATATTTAGTTTTTATAATTCATCATTATGCTGAGTATTTCGTTTTTTTCCCCCTTATGAAAGTTAATTTAAGTTTTCATTTAAGTTTATATTTAGGATGGAATTGCTTAATAAAATCTTCATCATAAAATTTTGCATTTTAAAACTTGGTTTCGTTATAACACGTAACACTGCTTGAAGGTATCTTATAGCACGGTCTCCACACATTGCCAATAGGATTTCCATACTACAGGGTCGAGTGTAAAAGTATCTTATAGCATAGTTTCGCCACAACACAAATAAAGTTTCAACACAACACCGAACACATTTTATTTATATTGTTATGAAATTCGCTTTTGTAAGATACAGTCCGTATCACTGGATCGCGGATATTTTGTTCAAGAGAAATACACTTCAAAGTTCTTTTAGTTACAATTATATTTCTTTAAATGTAGGATTATTTACAAATTATTTTTTGGCAATACTTTCGACTGCTGAACTCAAATATTCTTTTTCCACTACCCTGCCTTTCACAAATATTCTATTTATATACATTTTTTACCATAATACTGCTAGTACCTAATTTTATAACTTGATTCGACTTTTAATTCGTTAACGTACTTTTCTGGTAACCGTTTTCATAGGCCTGCAGCTGCATGACACCTTACGAATGGGCATTTGGTTTCTTTTCTCTTTAACGAATTTATTATTTGGGAAACTGACTTACCTGGAATCAACTAGATTTGGGATTTCCGTAACAATATACATAATTTATTTTATAACGTGTTGGATTTTATTTGAGTTCAAGCTGCTCTATATTTTGTTAGGTGTTCGCAAAAATATTGATCATTTTTTCGTTGAGGAAAATTGACAAAATGCATATTAATCAAAGTATTTCGGGTCATTTTCAACAAAATTTTACCATATTATTGGCAACATGGCGCTATCAAATCGAAATAATTTATATTGGTTTGATAGCTATGTATCCACTGACCCATTGTAGCACTTCTTCAACTTCTTGCAGATCCGCGTATCAACCAAACCATGCTGGATCGATCTGGGCAAATGGTAGTCAGAAGTTGTCGTGTCTGTGGAGTAGGCTGGATGTGGCAGAACGACCCCTTCGAGTTCCTGGACAACTCGTGCAAAGTGCAACGTGTGGCCCAAAAGTTGCATTTTCAGTAAATTCGTGTTACAACTTTTAAAACGCTAAAACCGAAAGCGACAATTTAGATGTGACGGAACAGCATCAGCATAAGCCTCTGTGTTTAGTTAAAGCATGCACTTTTATTAAATTTTGTGTCTGTCTAGTTTACATATATATACTTTTATTCAATTTAGTATCTGTCTAGTTTAAATACGTACTTGCATTCAATTTTGTATCTTTCATTTGCACATTCAAGCTTATGCAGTCATTAACATACCGATGTTCGATTGTTCACGCACTTGCATTTGCATAATCATGTTTCTGTGTTTGTCTGTTTTGGTATAACTGACCATAAACAACAATCCCGCTGATTACATAATTCAGACCTTGAAGTGTATCGTCGTTGTTTATATTAATTTGCTTATGTTGCATTTTTGTGACGCACTTCAAGCTGTTCATATTTCTGGAGTAAACAAATGCAATAATGCAAGTGCATCATTTTATATATTTGTTTATTGTAGTATGTGGGAAAATAATTCCGAGTTAGTTTATAATAATTGTAATTTATGTTCCATGTTTTTACCAATAAAACTTTGTGTTTGTCATAGCTCGCATTGATCGCTTGTTATCTTTATTGTTTCTCCCTGACGAAACGAGTGGTCGAATCAGATCAACCAATTAGGTATTGCAATCGTTGTTCAAGACTCCAAAATGCCATTGAACATTTTATTCACAACTCTGAACGTTTTTGGATTTGGAAGAAAGAGGATTTTATGCTTTCCATGATTTCGTGCTGTAGGATTAACGTCGACGCACGCTGAATAAATCAATAATATTAAATGGAAAAAGTATTAAAAGTGGTATTTAGGTAGAGGAGGTCAAAACCATCGATTTGAAGCGTTATGTAGCCGGGTATTACCCATTTCTCTATTATTTTTACCGATAGATGTGGCTGATCCAAATTTCTGCAAACACCTAATAGATTAAGTGAAGAAATAAAGAAAATTCATTTAACTCGATCACGATATAGCCACTAAAGCAGAGGACACCTGCAAATTTTTTATTTATTAATTTTTTTTTTCGTCATGTTACATATTTCATATGTTCACTCATTTTACAATGATAGTGCGTTCTTTGTATACTTATTTACTTATTTATAAGTAAAATAAGTTACACAAAAGATCTTCGGAAGGGGCTCCTTTTAACGTCTTACCAACGAACAGAGCCATTTTATGTGCATATTGGCAACAAGCAGGAACACTAATTGTTCCTGGCCAATTAAAATATAAAAAGCATAACTTGTAGGTCAGCCTTTGTATTATATCGGGACCAAATTCCGCATCGTCCCTTAACACGATATAATGCGAAGGCGACACAGCTCCTTGTTTGGAAACTTGGGAAACCAAGAAAAAATCATAAAAAGCCGCGTGAGTAATTACTTTATCAACTACAGTCCCAGGATTTGGATTTTGAAAACGGCCTCCATTCGCCAAAAAATAGCGTGTATTGATACGCTTTTTTACTACAATAAAAGTGATCTTCGCCATATGGTTGAGTGTCTTACGACAGGCCTCCTGTAATTGAGGTATTTCATATTGTTCGCAAACTTGGAATTGGCCGTCACCAATTCCATCTCGATAAATGATTATATTGTGAGGGAAGAAATTGTTTTCATTTCGATAAGCATTTAAAGCTGATATCAAGCAACAGTACAATCCGCTTATAAGTTCCTCTTTTCGATTTTGAATCATTGCTTTACTATACCACTTGGTGTAATTCTCATTTAAAGAAGCCACGAACGCTGCCACTGAATTTTCCTTTCGATCTGCGTCGTGGTAAACATCAACGCCGCAAATCATTACCTTTTTATTGAATGGAATTTTTACTGACCACAGCGATCCACCTAATTTGCAATTCATTTGAAGAGCAATTTTCTGGACAATTGACTTACTTTTCAAACTGTTTTGAAGTGAGCGCGGATCTATTACCTGCAGTAACGTTAAAACAACAACAAAAAGAAAAACCACGAAATATGTGAGTTGATTGTTATAAAACAAGCCGGAACATTATAGTCGGTTAATACCGACCATCAAATATCTTACAGCACATTGTCTAACACTATTCTTATTTTTGGATGAAATTACTATTATGGGCCCATTTTCATCACCGCATATTAAAACGCTCTGCTTTCCAAAGGATCAATTTTCGTGAAAATTCCTATTAGGGTAGGATCCAAAAAATATTCCGTGGGATGGTACAAATTTGGCGCAATTAGTTTCTTTATGTTGAATTATACCGTTTTGTCGTAAGAACTTCAGTTTTCGTTATATGAGAGGGGTTTCAAAAATTGCCCCAGCCAGTCCAAAGTTTTCATACCAGTTTAGAATGCCGAAATACTACTACTTAACCACTTTTACCGTGATATATTGAAAATTGCACTTTTTGCCGTAAAACGACATTTCAGAATGGGGTGTTATATAGGAAGTGGTCGAAAAAGTGGACCGATCCGAATCATTTTCAACAGTGCTCATCCTTGGGAAAAATGTCACTCTACTAAATTTCATCAAAATATCTCAAAAATTGCGACCTGTAGATTAAACACAAATTTACATTGACATACGTACATATAGAGTTATATCAGATTAGACAATGATTCTGATTCGATCGGTATAATAAAAGATGGACCTATCTGGGTCTGCATGTTACATATATCCACACTAACTTAATATACCCTGTACCAGAAGCGGTATAGGGTATAATCATCATTATTATTACCACGAAAATGCTTACCTGTGACGGTACTGGATTTTCGATACAGCATAACTTTTTAATGGCAGTATATCGGTCATTGCTGCTAGTTGAGCAAATACATACAACAATTTGAGTCTCCTTCTTAATGCTCTTTCTTAATGCATTTATATAACTTTCAATGCGATCATTGCTAATAACAACAATCTGCGGCCTTTCTACTGTTAATCCGAATGAATTCGTATCTACTCGCATGTGTTCGCAAAACGATAAAGCCGCTTTACTATCCTTCTCGCAA